CAGGTTTACGTCTAGTTAAGAGCTCTAGAAGGATAATCCCTAAATTATAACCATCACTCTTGAAAGTCAGTGCTCCAGTCATTGTGAATCTGTCATTTGAAACTCCAGAAGTTAGATCAGTGTTCGATTGTCACAGGAAGCTTATATGCTTATGGTTCATGCTTGGCTATCTCTCACAAGGGATGCCTAAGACTTCATCTATGAAGTAACTCCATATTGTAAGGAAAACAGGCATTATATTTATATGATTATACTTAAGCAGAGGTCAAGCAAGAAGTTGGGAAAGCAGTTGAGAACTTACTCTGGAGCATGACAACCAAAGGTTCCAAGATAGCAAATAACAAGTCAGTTGAATCAAGGAGGACATCCTCCTGTCCAAGCAGCTCATTAGCTTGAATACTGGCACACCTACTAACCGGAGATCAGAGTGGCAGAATGAAACTAGATAGCACCAAAGGAATTGCTGGAGAGTCTTGCTAATTTCTATGACATCCAACTTTTTAGCTGCCCCAAAGTGAGCATAAAGACAAACCCAAACCTGCAGATCAAGGTAGTCCAAGAGAGAGCACCAGACAAGCAATGCTTTCTTTTAGGCCAAAGTCCCTATTTGCACCCTCAATTTATTTCCTTTCTACGGTCAACACCTTCCAAATATTTTCCTCCCAATTAACACCCTCCACTTTTCAAAACTCCTGAAAAACCCAATATTTTAATGGGTCATCACATCATTGTTAATAATTGCTAAAAAATACAATACATGACACTTAAATAGTGACATGAACGTTACGTGGTGTTAATAATCCAATGTGGACTATTTTTTGATGATGTGGCATAATTTTAATTAATTTTAATTTCTCCTCTCCGTCGACATCGTCTTCCTCCTCGGTTCCTCTTGGAACCTAGTTGTTGGGTTCCTCATGGAACCCAGTTGTTGGGTTCGTGGAACCCTGATTACGGAACCCAGTCATTGGGTTCGTGGAACCCCAATTATGGGTTTTGACAGGAAACTAGTCATTGGGTTCCTCATGGAACCCGAATTTTGGGTTTTGACCCTCTTTTTTTTCATTTTTTTATTTTTTATTTTGAATATATCTATCTTAGTTCCCTATTTTCTTGTTGGAAAGATGAGATTTTTTGCTTGGAGATTGTTTCTGGACAAGTTACCAATTTGAGTTCAAGTGGGATTAACATGGATGGCAATAATGGTTTCTTCATTTTTTGTGGGAAAGTGGTGGAAAATGCAGATCATGTTTTTATGTAGTATTCATTTACTTATAATTGTGTGGATGAAGATCTTAGCTTGGTGGAGCATTCATGTGTAACTGGGTTCCACGAGGAACCAAAACCTAGGTTCGGGGAACCCAGCAATTGGGTTACGCGAGAAACCTAGGAGGATGATGAAGAGGATGGTGAAGATGATGCCGAGGAAGAGAAGAAATGAGAAACTGTATATTACCATAGCCAGCAAATACAATGCCAACTCAACCTTCATTTTTAAAAGAAAGATGGATTATACCCAAGAGGAACCGAGGAGGAAGATGATGTTGAAGGAGAGGAGAAATTAAAATTAATTAAAATTATGCCACATCATCAAAAAATAATCTACATTGGATTATTAAAACCATGTAACAATCATGTCACTATTTGAGTGCCACGAATTGTATTTTTTAATGATCATTAACAATGACGTGACAATTTGTTAAAATATTTGGCTTTTCAAGAGTTTTGAAAAGTGAAGGGTATTAATCAAGAAGAAAACATTTAGAAGATGTTGATCACAGAAAGAAAATAAATAAAGGATGCAAATAGAGGGTTTAGCTTTTCTTTTACGGGCAATAATTTAAAATCAACCACCCAGCCAAAGATGGTACATCCCTCAAACCACCTCGAGATATGTCCACCACACAGGCAAGAGCATCAAACAAGGACAAAAACATAAACTAAAATTAGGATCAGAAATAGAGGAGCTTTTAGCTCTCAAAGGCCACAAGGGAGATCCCAGGCCTTGTGCCTGATTTACGTATATGCATCATGGCACCATTGTTGGCTGTTTGGGGATAGCCACTGAACCCCTCATCATCATGATTAATCTTCTGCCCAAAGACAACACTCCAGAAAGGCATATTGGAACATCCACTGCACAAGCACTTTCTCATCAAGCACCAAGAAACATTCATTCAAATACATATATACCCAACGTATTCAATCCTTTGATCACGTTGAACAACTAGAAAGCCACTCACGCTCCTCTAAAGACAACATTCAGAACCCTTAAAGATCACAATCATCACATAACAAGTTGCATAGCATAGCTTAGAAAATAAAATTACACACAAGATTATATTCAATTCAACAAACTAGTAGCTAGACATTAACCAGCAGTTTCTGATCTCTGGAAGAACAACGCTCCTCTTCACCAACGGAACTAGGTTTCACTTCATGCTTGACTGTCATCATGCCTCATGCTTCCTACAAACATAGTCTTTTTCATAAATATATATAAAAAGGCAGTGAAATATTGTTGGCCAAACATAATATATGAAATATAGTTAACTCTGAATTGGGGATCGATGTAATGATCATCAAGAAACAATGGAAATAAGTGTATGACAGAAAGAAAGATTAGCACTTAGATTCTAGCTTAATTAGTATTTTGTCCATCATTAAGGTTGGGTTTGGATGAAATAATCTACTTTAGTAAGAAGTTTGAGACGCGGCAAGAGTTTTAAAATCCATTTTTAGATTATGTTCTTTTGTCTAATTGAAGAGAGAGTATGGTTTAGGAAGGGGAGAATGCTGGAGGATTTAAAAAGGGATTTCAAAAAACAGCTTTTTAGGTGACATTTTAAAATGACAAGTTAGTAATAATATCATAACAATTTTTATGAAAAAAGGTAATAATATGAAATAGGATTTTGAAATTCTTTTCCTCACATGAAATCCACTCCAACCTTAAATATCATTTCATCTCAGTGAAAGTATACAATCCATGAGATGGATTCAAAACCCTTAGAGAGAATTGGTTAAGATTTGAGATTGATCGAATTGGAGATTTAAACTTCAAACCTTAAGTTGAGTGGAAAAAATTTTGAAAAAAGAAACAACTCTCTATTCTTGTACATATTCCATCATTCCATGTACCAAAAAATAAAAAAACCTTAACAAAACAAATTAAAAATAAAAAAGGAGTACCTTGTCACTCCACCTTGATTTCCTTTAAATGTGTCTTATTTTCAAATTTGGCTCTTTTAAGCTCTCTCTCGTTTACTGCATTTCCTTTCAGTACCATGGAAAGTTCACGAAGGTGGTCCAAGTTTTCCAGGTCTCCAAGAGCGAATTCCTTAGGGTCATCTCTATCAGCTCTGAGCACGATCCCATGCAATTGCCTCAGATTTGTTAATCTCCTAGCTGATTTGGGGTAGCAAGCTAACCTGTCGCAATGAAGAGTCCCCAGATGTATCAACTTGATCAATTTTCCTATCTGATTTGGTAAATCCTCAAGAGCTTTGCAGTTGTTGAGATTCAAATATCGAAGATTATGTAATTTACACAAAGATCCAGGCAATCCTTTTATTTTACTTCCACTAAAGTTAATGTGCCTCAAATTGATCAAATTCCCTATCTCATCTGGCAAATTCTCAAGAGATTCGCAGTTGTCGAGATTCAAATATTGAAGATTAGGTAACTCAAATAAAGATCTGGGCAATTCTTTTATTTTACTTCCACTCAAGTTAATGTGGCTCAAATGGATCAAATTCCCTATTTCTTTTGGAATTGTATCCACTAATGCATTATGGCAACCAAAATCCACCAACCTTAGCCGTTTTGCTTGATTAAAAATGATTTGCACCGCTTCATTGGTTATTGCATTCTCTCCAGAAATGATCACGAGGCTATGCAACTTTTCAGCACCATAAATGGAAGTAGGAAGACAACACCCCTCTGGTATCAATGCTGTCAAATAACGAGCTTTTGTGGCAGACAAATCTATCATTGAATTGCCTCCTGGATTCATGACCTCAATCACAATTTCATCATTGTTCATCAAAAACTCTGCAAAATCATGCATAATGTCATGCATCTTCCATGTTGATTTAAGACTATCGGTATCCGGTAGAAAATCTTGGAAGAAAGAGCAAGCTGCTAAGTAGCTAATGTACTCTCTTCCTTTTAATTCTAAATCTTTATCATTGTCCCATCCTAAATAACGTTGTGCCATCCAGTGGTATATTATTGTTTCTCCATCGTATTCAAAATCTTCTGGGAAAACAGCACAATACTTGAAACATTGTTTCAGTGGCAAAGGCAAATCATAGTAACTCAACAATAGAGAAACAAAATCCTTCTGATGCGCAGTATCCAGCGCCCAGATTTCAGTGTTCAAGATAGTTTCCCACCCTTCCCTACTGCTTTTAACTCTTAGGAGGCCTCCTAGAGTCTTGGCAGCAAGAGGCAAGCCTTTACACTTCTTTGAAATTCTCCTCCCAAAATCCTCTAAATCCCAACGCGCTTCAACACCCATTCCATAAAATGCTGTTTGACTAAATACCATCCAACAGTGTTCATCAGATAACGGTTCCAAAGGAATGACACGAGAGTCTTTCATCATGTTTGCCACTGTATCCTCACGCGTAGTTAATAAAATCGTACTCCCTTGGGCACCATGTTCGAAATTCTGGATCACTGCTTCCCAGTGTCGCATGTCATTTGTGCACACATCGTCCAACACAAGAAAGAATTTGTTTCCACTGACAGATCTACGAATTCTTTCATGAAGGGTAACCAATGGAAATGAATCAAGGGAGTCCACTGCAACACGCTCAACTTGTGCAATTATTGCTTTGGCAACTTTTTTCTCGTCAAATACATCCGAGACACAAACCCATATTCCGTTATGAAAATGCGACCTGACTTCAGAATAAACCTGTTCAGCAACAGTTGTCTTTCCCAGCCCACCCATGCCAACAACACAAATGGTCTTAACTAGTTTCCTTCCTTCTTCAGTAGACCAATACAACACAGTGCGTACAATGTCTTGTATAACCTTATCTCGACCAACTAACTCAGACACAGAAACATCAGTTGTATGTGTAAGGAATCTACTGTATCGCATCTTAAACCTTACTCCTAAGTTTACTGAAACAGTTCCCACAGCCATGTCCATCAGATTTAGGCTGTGATTGATTCCCTTTAATTTGAAAGCAAGATCACCGGGCGTAACAACTTGGTCAGTATGGAAAAAGTGGGTGACATAAGAGCCTACCTTTGCCTTCAGATTAGAAGTTTTTCCAACTCCGTTTATTCGCAACGTAGTGATCCACTCGTCCAACACATCCACCAAATCATAAGCTGCATCTGTGAGCTTATCCATCGGACCTCTGATATATTCTCTGTCAGTACTCATCTTTTTATCTGCGTCCTCAAGGACATCAATTATGTCCTTAAGTTTGTTGCTAAGCATTGTGAATTCTTCTGCAACATCTCCCACCAGCGTCCCCCTTTGCTTCGCTTCTTCAGCAGCAATTATTTCTAGTAGCTTCAAAATTGAGGACAAAAGTGCAGCTACCATTTCTGGAGCAATGGATCAAATTCCGAATCTATCAACTAGATATATAAGATCATAAGAGATTTTGTGCAGATTGATTTGTGGCTATATGATATAATGATGGGAAAGAAAATGGCTATATATGCATCATATTCAGAAATTTTGATATTATTTTTTGTCGCAAATCTGTAAATCTGTAAGTGAAGATGATTATACCCAAGAAACTTACCGATCAGATGCAAGTCAGGGCAAAGAAACAACTTAACGAGAAATCTGAGACAGATCTGAAGTTGGAGATACAGTTTAACTTGACCAGACATTCAAGTCTTGCTAAGGAGGGTCTAAAGACTAATACAGAAGACCAGATAGCGATGGCAACAGTCTCCGCCCCTTATTCCCATCCTGTTTGTCATAAAAAATGCCTCGTCCTTGTTCCCGCAGGAAATGCTAAATCCCCACTGTTACGTAGTTTACCCGTCGAATATTAAAATCATTGTTTTTGGACCCGGTCCGTTGGTTGGTCCGTTTTGGCCACTGGGTTTGGTTCAATCGGTTGAACCAGTTCACCCGATCGATTCAACCGGTTGACTAAAAAAGGTAAACAACTTTTTTAAAGAGGTGAGTGGAGAGGACGATGACTGGTGAAGGAGAGGATGATGACTGGCGGAGAGGACGATGACTAGCAGAGGAGAGGATGATGATTGGTGAAGGAGAGGATGATGACTGGCGGAGAGGACGATGACTGGCGGAGGAGAGGCAGATCTGTTCTGTCGATGGAAGAAGGAGGTGAGCGGCGAAGGGCTGAGATCGGGGAGGTAATTGTGGAGTCGCCGACGGCTGGGATCGGCGAGGCAGTTGGCTGACGGTGACTTCGCTTGCTCTATTTTGTTTTAGCTTCTGCGTCTGGATTTTGCTTTTGCACAAACGAAGGGCCTGCTTTTTGGTTTGGTTAAAACCCCATTTTGGTCCCTGAACTATTGTGCGGACCCACGATTTGGTTCCTAAACTAAAAAAATCCCTAATTTGATGCCTACTATTTATCATTTTAATCCCGATTTGGTCCTTCCGTTAAATATCTGCTTACGTGTCTTGTTACTTAACGGGGAAAAGGATGACATGTCAAATATTAATACACGTGGAAGACGATAAGACCAAAAAAGTGATGACATGGAAAAAATAACAATATAAAAAAATATTATAAAAAATAAAACTT